AACAAATAGAATGTGATCCTAAGTTTTTATTGCTATGCAGTAACTAAAATCGCATACTTATCCAATTCAAATGACTATCAAATGAACAGAAATCTTTTGTAAAAATAGTCCACATGTTGAAGACATTGCCGAAATCCGCTGTAAAATAATTATATTCAAACAATGTGACTGAAATTATCTTTAATCGCCTTAACTAGAATTATCTTCAATGCAACTAGAATCAAATAATGCGACTAAAAATGTCTTGAAAGATCTTAACTAAAATTATATTCAGTGTTACAAGACACAAATAATGTGACTGAAATTCCCTTTAAACATCGTAACCAGAATCATCTTCAGTACGACTAGAATCAAATAACTTTTAACCTTTTAATCCTTTTAACTAGAAGGAAACACCTATCTTACTAAATCAGGCATATATTTTTTCGTTTGATGTAATTTTTAACTAGAAGGAAACACCTATCTTACTAAATCAGGCAGATATTTTCGTTTGATGTAGTTTTTAACTAGAAGGAAACACCTATCTTACTAAATCAGGCAGATATTTTCGTTTGATGTAGTTTTTAACTAGAAAGAAACACCTATCTTACTAAATCAGGCAGATATTTTCGTTTGATGTAGTTTTTTAACTAGAAGGAAACAAGTCATATACAGAATCCATTTGTTCATTGGCATCCAGCCAACAGGAGATCATGCTAACACTGTGTAAAATGATACACATGCTTGATATAAACTGATGTGGCAAACTTTGTTTATTATTAACTACGATAATACTTAATAGTAAGGATCGTGATAAAACAAAATGGCGGCCATATAAATCGCCCGTTTAAAAAAACCATCTTTAAAATGTCTGATTATCCATTTTTGTAGTTTTTGACTTTCTTGTTTAATGCTTTTTGTAGCATTAAAACTTTCTTTGCTACTATAGCTAGCTAGATAAGTGTATATCGATCCCTATTTGTCTTTATATAATTTAAAATTTTATTATACTTGTCTGAAATTAAAATACAAGCTTTAACAACCTCTGTGGCAGTCTGTGGAATGTAAAATTACTTTGTCAACCTACGTTACAAGTTGTACGTACTAAACTTATTGCAGTTTTGATATTTATTCGTTTTTTTATTTGTTTGCTTATTCTAACTATAAATATTTTTAGCTTTATTACAATAAATCATTTGCAAAGCATCGAAAATGATGTGGGTAAATGGCAGAATGTTTAGCAATGACGAGATCATTTTTTTTTGTTTATCTTATTTGTATTAAATGAGAGCTGGAAGGATCTGGTGTAGTTTTAGTTTGGTTAGTTTAACCCATCTTGTATCTCAAGGTCGATGACTTATTTATTCACTTGATTGTTTAGTAATCACATGCAGAGCACCAACCAACGAGACGTCACGTGACCTTACAATGAGGGCGTCGTTTTCCTTCTGTCTGGGGCGCATTGCGAGCATACAGGTGTCTGTGTTTGTGTGAGTAAATATGGCTACGTGGAGGAGGGGTACACTGACAGCGTCGGTTTGTGACGGTGATGTCGCAGGTGGCACGTGCATGAACCCCTACTTCGTCCTAGTGTCACGTCACAAATGTTTCCTACTATCACGTACTCAGTAAAATAAAAACAAAACGATGCATCAAAACAACAAAGTGTTCACTGAACCTCTTTTGATTTTTCCAAAGTTTCTATGACAGTAACGATCATTACTAAAGTGAAATACCATAATATGTTTGAATTGAACATTATTATCCAGAAACGTAATCTGTTAATCAAAACAGATTTCTTTGGAGACAGAGCAATGATAAATATAAATAACGTTTACAAATTCTTGGTTACATAAAACGATTCAACCAAAATTGTATACAACTGTGAGATAGCAAGGTCAATTACGGCCGTAATATGTATTCCATAGAATAAAACATCTATCTTCACGCACGTACGCAGGGGGAGTTTGAGGGGATTCCACCGAACCCCCTATTTTTGTGATGTAATAAAAATATGATTGTATACTTATAGTGCAGTTGCTTATGGTCTTTAACGTTTTCTACATAGTCTACATTCTTTTGACGAAGCATTAGCATTTTTTTGGCTTGAAAAAGTCGCACGCCCCCCGATCCACGTAGCACTGGCTATATTACTAATGTCATATACCATTATTTGTTTGAATTGAACATCATTATCCAGAAACGTAATCTGCTTATCAAAATAGATTTCTTTGTTGGCTTTAGATCTCACAAATTACAACCCCCATTTTAAAAAAATCTGCTTACGGGCCTGTTTTTTGTTGTTGTTTTTTTAACTTTGTACATTCTGCTTCTTTCTCCAGCACGTCGCATCTTTAGTTCGCTATACAGTGACTTACAAAAGTATCCACCCCCCCCCCTGCAAAGTATCCACGTTTTGTTGCCATCTGAACTTGCAATCATGAAACTTTCAAATGGGACTTTATATCTAGAATTTACACAATCTACTCCAAACTGAGAAAGCTAAACAAACGATGATATTATGTAAGTAAGTTAGATTTTCAAAGAAAATTGGAATATTCTCAATTGCATAAGTATTTAACGTCTTTGCTGTGGCAGCCCTAAATCAGTTCAGTTGCAAACGATTAGTTTGAAAGTTCACAAAATTAGTGTAATGGTCTCTGTCTGTGTGTAATGAAAGTAGTTTAACTTGACTTCAGAGTAAATGCATCTGTTCAAGCCACAACTCGCATAGTGATACAACAAACCAACCATAAAGATCAAGGAGCTTTCCAAACAAGTCAGGGATAAAGTAATAGAGAAGCACAGATTAGGAGAAGGTTGCAATAAAATTTCAAATTCGCCGATTATCCCTTTGAGTATGGTGAAGTCCATCATTAAGAAAGTGGAATGTGCTTCATACCACCCAGTTATTACCCAGATCAGGCTGCCCTTTCAAACTAAGCAGCCAAGCAAGCAGGAAACTAATTAGGGATGCCACTGTGAAGCCAACAGTGATTTTGATAGGTTTGCAAAGTTTCACATCCGAGATGGGAGTCAGTGTTCATACATCAACAATATCCCAGTCTCTACACAAGGCTGGTCTGTATGGGCAAGTGGCAAGAAAGAAGCCATTACTGAAAAA